ATCCATCTCGCGCCTGCCCGCCCGCCCCCCCTTCCGGCCGGCAGTACGCCAAGTTCCAGTTCGACTGCGGCAACTACAGCAGCGCCAGCGAGCTGCTGCAGGCGTACCGGCCGCTGGTCACCACGAGCGAGCGCAACATGAGCGTGCTGTGGGGCAAGCTGGCCGCTGACATCCTCATGGTCGACTACGACGCGGCCACAGAGGACATCGCGCGCCTGCGCGAGGCCATCGACAATGCGCCGTTCCTCACGCCGCTGCAGCAGCTGCAGCAGCGCACGTGGCTCATGCACTGGAGCCTGCACGTGTTCTGGAACCACGAGAACGGGAAGAACGCGCTGATCGACCTCTTCCTGCAGGCGCCGTTCACCAGCGCGATCACGGTCAACGCGCAGCACCTGCTGCGGTACGTGGCGGCGGCGGTGGTGGTCAACAAGCGGCGGCGCAACGTGCTCAAGGACCTCATCCGCCTCATCCAGACGGTGCGAGGGCCGCCCTGTGTTTGTTGCGGGGGCGGGGAGGGAGTCGCTGCCAGCAGGGTGGAGAGAAGAGAGAGGGAGAGGGGGGGAGGGTTGCGGGGCGGAACAGGTGAGTGAGACAGAGAGAGAACACAAGAGCAGTTGTGTGGGGCAAGAGCGCGCGGGGGGCCTCGGTGTCCCGGCCGGCGGGTGGCTTGCTGGCCGCTCTGTGAGGGGCGGTGCGGCAGAGGCGCCAAGGTGCGGAGGTCCCGGCGGTGCAGGCACGGTGACGCCCCGCAGCAATCGATGGCTATGCGCAGCAATCGATGGCTATGCTGTGGCAGCCAAGGACGGCTCACGCTGCAGCGGTGGCGTTCCCACCAGCAGCGGGGGCTGTTTCGAGCAGGGCCGCAGCAGCAGCAGCCAAAGGGTTGGTTGTAGCCAGCGACGCCACGGCATCACCACCTCGCGGTCCATTAGCCGAGCCCCGTGATGCCAGTTCGTACCCTCACTGTCACCCATTCCCCCGTCCCCACCCCCAGGAGTCCTACGAGTACAGCGACCCCATCACCCAGTTCCTGGAGTACCTGTTTGTGCACTACGACTTTGACGGAGCCCAGAAGAAGCTGGCGGAGTGCGAGGCTGTCATCGACGCGGACTACTTCCTCACGGCCATCAAGGTGGGGCCACGGGCGGGATGCGCGCGGCTGGCGGGCAGGGCAATGGGGGAGTGCGTGTTGGGGGGCTGATGGCCAAGAAGCGGCCGCGGCGGCGGGGGTTCGCGATGACATAGCAAGAACAGGCAGCGGACCGTTGGCTCGCACGTTGGGGGCCCGTCGCAGCTGCATCCCCTGCCCCGCAGCTGCACCTGGGGACCACCCGACTCTGGCGCCTGCCCTCAACCCACTCCGTGCCTGCACCTTCCAGCGCGCCCCTCACCGACACCCCCTCCCTCCCCCCGCTTGCTGCCCCTGAATCCCCCGACCACCAGGCCGAGTTCATCGAGTCTGCGCGCCTCTTCATCTTCGAGACCTACTGCCGCATCCACCAGTGCATCGACATCAACATGCTGGGCCAGCGCCTGAACATGGACCAGGAGGCCGCGGAGAAGTGGATCGCCAACCTCATCCTCAACGCGCGGCTCAACGCCAAGATCGACTCCAAGGCGGGGACCGTTGTCATGGGCGTGCAGAGCCAGAGCGTGCAGGAGGTGCTGGTGGAGAAGGCCAAAGGGCTCAGCGCTCGCACGTTCACGCTGTCCAACGCGGTCGGCGGCGGCGGCGCGACGGCGCGCGCCTAGTGAGCCCAGCGGCTGCCGGCCGACCGGGTGCACGCGGGCGCGGTGCGCCGGGATGGGCGCCTCGCGGGCGCGGCCCCGTGTTGGTAGTGGCCGTCGCAGCAGCAGCAGCAGCAGCAGCATCGGGGCGCGCAGGTTGCTCAGGAGTCGTGCCTGGCGGCCTGTTGCCCTGTCTCTCTTTTTTCAACTCTCCAGCCATGTTTGATTTGCTCTCTGTTTGTGTCCCTCACCAGGGTTCTCTGAAGTGTTGCCGCGCGTGTCAAACGCCAATGAGTGTCAAGAAAAGCTCATGCAGTGTCAGCCGTGCGCGCCAGCGCAGGGGTTGGAGCAGCATTTTGATGCGCAACCCATCTGTCTTTCCAGTGGTGCTTCCAGCGCGCTGTGTAAAGGCATTTGTGCCGTATGCAAGGCTGCAGAGTCACCACTTTATGTGGATAGGGGGGAGCACGCATGCAGACAGAGGAACTTAGAATGGCTCGGCTTGGCAGCACACGCGCTCCCTTGTTGTGGCATGACGCGACCTGGAGTGTGTGGGACGCTCGCCGTGAGGGGCGGGCCTGTGAGTTTCAGGGGTCTCCTGCAAAATTTACACAAAGGTGAAGCAGGCGTGCACGCGCAGGTGGTGTACCCACAGCTCTCAGGCAGCGCACCGCGCAGGAGGATTAAGCCCAGGCTAAAGGTGTAAGCAACAGCCGGGCCACCAGCAACTGAAGCCGGCCAGATGGGCGGTGGGTGATGTCAAGGTGCACTCGCAGGTCCGCAGCGCCTATTTGTGTGTTTGCGTTACGTCGTTATTGTAGCACGCAGGCCGCAAACCTGCCGCATGCACATTTCTGAGCGATGCCACAGCCTCACTTTTAGTGATTTGCTGCAGTCAAATGGAGTCACCCACACGGGTCACATCACTTGTTTCCATTTCTTGAGCAGCGCGCCAAGCTACCGCCATTGTGTTCGCTTGGATTTTGAAGAGCATTCAGGAGTCATTCGATCGCGCTGCGAGATCACTTCTGATCTTGGCACACGCGCTGTGCGGCAGCCTATCGCGAGCATTCAATTGCATATAAAGCCATTTAGTATGCTTTTGCGCGCTGTGACCTCGCAGTTGTGCGCCCTAGTGCAGCAGGCAGGAGGTGCTCTCGCAGCGCAGCATGCCGTTGGCGGCGCAGTGAGCCTTCAGGCGCGGCGCGGTTTCAACTTTGTGCCTTACGTGATCGAGTCTACCAGCAGAGGTGCGTTACACGGGTCCGCCCTGACTGCAGAGACGAAGCAAGCGGCAGCAAAGGCGCAGCAGCGACACTCTGTGTCACTATGCTCCGCCCACACCGCACGTGTTGCCCCCTCCACTCCCCGCCAGGCGAGCGCGCCTTTGACATTTACTCGCGGCTGCTGCGTGAGAGGATCATATGTGTGAATGGGCCCATCGATGACAGCACCAGCAACGTCATAATAGCGCAGCTGCTGTACCTCGAATCGCAGCACCCAGACAAGCCGGTGGGTGCTCGCCCCCTGCGGTGGGGCACCGCACGGGTGGGATGGGAGACAGGGACGCGCCGAGCGGCTGGTTGCTGTGTGAGGATGTGTGAGGGAGCAGACACACGGCATGGGATGCTGGGTGGCCCGTGGGCGCGCGTAGGGACGATCCCCCACGCGCGACCGGCGGGGGATGCGGGGGCGCTGCGGTGCGCCCGGCTTGTGTGGATGAAAGGGCGCCACCAACATATGCAGCAGGGCCCCCCAATGGAGAACCCATGGGGAGTGTGCGCAAAGCGACAGCCTGGGAAAGGCAAGGGTGGGCCCAACGTGGCGCCGCTTGCGTGTATCCCCCTACACGCTGGGTTTGAGGCGCGTGGTCTCGTATCTTTAGCTGCTACCGCCAACCTCTGCCGCTGCTGCTGCTGCTGCTGCTGCTGCTGCTGCTGCTGCTGCTGCTGCTGCTGCTGCTGCTGCTGCTGCTGCTGCCACTTGCGCAGGTGCACATGTACATCAACTCCCCAGGGGGCGTCGTGACAGCTGGCCTGGCCGTGTACGACACCATGCAGGCGCGCGCGGGCACTGGCGCGGGCTCGGGCTGGGGCGCTCAAGAGTGCCGCATTACCAGCAGTCCCCAGCGCTCGCCTGCGGGCGCTTTTTGGCACAGCACGACATGTGTAGACATGAAAACGCCCTGCTTAATTCTCGTAGCTCGCAAAAGCACATGACAAGTCAGCCTCAGACGTGCGTCTGTGCGCTGCTTTGCACACACGTCGCCTCTCCCTCACTTTCTCTGTTAACTTGACTGCACCCAACCTCACTCCCTGCTCGCAACCGCAGTACATCAAATCTCCCATCAGCACGCTGTGCGTGGGCCAGGCCGCGTCTATGGCGTCGCTGCTGCTGGCCGCGGGCGCGCCCGGGGAGAGGCGCTGCCTGCCGCACGCGCGCATCATGGTGCACCAGCCAGCGGGCGGCGCGCAGGTGCGGGGGCGGGCGGGCGGCGGGCATGATGGGTGTTCAAAGGGGCGGAGGGGGTGTGGCGCAGGGGGTGGGGCGGAGGAGGGCCGCGGAGCAGGGAGCGGCCCGGGCGGTTCGGGTGGTGCAGCTCGGCGCATCCAGCGCGGGTGCGCTTGCTTTAGTGCGGCTGGAGGGGGCGAGACCATGAGCCACTTTGCAGCCGATGCGAGGCCGCCCCGCGCCAACTCCATGGTCTTCCGCGTGCCAGCCGCTACTGGTGCCCACGCCTGACATGTTGCACGCCCCTGAGCCCCGCCACGTCATCCCCTGGCCCCCTAACCGTCAACCGCCCGCGCACCAGCCCCCACCCCCTCGCCACAAGCACCTCACCCCTCTGGTTTGCAGGGCTGACGCGTGCACCGCACCTTTGCCAAACCCCTACAATACCCTCTCTCCCCGCCCCCCACACCTCCAACCCCCTCAGGGTCAAGCCAGCGACATCCTTATCCAAGCCAAGGAAATCGAGCGGCTGAGGGACCTCCTAGTCAGCCTCTACGAGAGGCACACACACAAGGACACAGACACCATCTGTGAGCCCCGCACGCCTGCGATTGGCGTAACCGGTGCCCGCGCCCGGGCACCCTTGCGTGCCGCGCCGCCAGACTGGAGGCAGAGGGGGTCCGGGGCTGTTGCCACGCCGCCGCTTTGGCTCGGCCCCTGTGAGGGCCCCCGCGCAGCCTGGCGGGCAGCCCCTGCTTGCACCTCTGGCCTGCTTGGATCTCATTGCTGGCGTATGATTCACCGCCCAACACAATGTTTGTTCTACGCATCTTCTTTGGCCCTTCCACCCAACCCTAATCCCATCCTAATCAAACCGAATCCAGGCAAGACCCTGGACCGTGACTTCTACATGGATGCCCACCAGGCGGCGGCGTGGGGCATCGTGGATGAGGTAATCGACATGCGATCTGACGCGACGTTCATCAAGGAGTGACGATGCAGGCAGCTCCAGGACGCGAGACGTGCGCCTCGCGCGCGCGCACGCGTCCTGACGGCCGGGCCGAGCAGAGCCCGCGGCGCCCGCGTGCGATGGGGGCGGCCTCCAGGGCAAGGGTCGGGCTCTGCTGGCTTGCAGGGCGAGGCTTCTGCTCTGCTACGCACCCACGCGGAGAGGTCGGGGGCGGCGCGGCCTGAGCGACGCACGCGGGCGCGCACGCCATGGCTCGCCAGCCGGCTGCTGTGGCCTGGCTTGTACAATCATCAGCACCTGTAAGGCCCCGAGCTGCAGGATTTTTGTGTAAAAATTTTCACAAGCTGCCTGCATGGCGCCAGCAGGTGGTGTCATCACAGTTGTGGCTGCGCTCCAACCCTCAGCTTCGTGCCCAGCTTTAGTCGCGAGTGGGCTGCACTTGAGGCGGGCCCTCTGGAACTGTGGTGGTAGGGGTGTAGCCAATGACGCTGTACCGATATCTCTGTTACTGTGGCGTATTTCTGGGCGTGTGAATCTCACCCTGCACCTGAGGGAGTAAGAGCTTTCACATGGCAAGTAAGGGTGGGCGAGAGTTCGCGCGAGTGGCCGCGCACTGGGGGGGCTGTTGGGAACTGCAGGACATTGGCATTCCACCACATTAAACCGACTCATCAAACCAATCAAACTTTATAGTTTCGACTTTATACTTAAAAACTCCGCCAATACAGTAACGCGCATCTTGTTCGTTCGAGCGAGGATCAGATTGTCAGCGACGGCAACCTCGTTCCAGTGCACGCCTCGGACACCATGCAGGACACTTCAAGCGCCCACGATCAGGCTCAGGAAATCTCCAAGCCACTCGTGGCGCTAGCACCGCCACCGCTCGCAGCTAAGCAGCCGGGCGCTGCCGCCGCGAGCGCCGCGGCAGCACCTGGCCCCGGCAGGCCCCTGCCCGTCGGCCGCATGCCCCTGTCCATCCAAGTCGCCGCCGACGAGGCTCGCGCCCACGCCACCGGCACCGGCGCCGGCGCCCGCGCCACAGCCTGGCTGCGCGGCGCCGCGGGGTCGCGCGTGGCGCTGGCGCTCGCGCGCATATTGACCGCCTCGTACTTCTTCAACGTCGCCTTCACATCTGTTGAAACGTGGTGGACGTTCAAAAACGACCCCCGACAGCTGGCCTCCCTCCGCCGCTGGGCTTCGGACCCCGTCCCCCAGCCGCCGCCCTTCCCGTGGCTGCACGCCGCCGGCCTGCTGCCGGCGGCGCTGGCCGCGGCGCTCTGGCCACGGCCGCCGGTGTGGGCGGCGGCGGTGCTTCTCGCGTTCACTGTCTGGGAGGACGGCTGGATCACGCTGCGGCAGGCCAGGGCGGTGCTACTGCACGGGTGCGCACACTGGCCGCGCCCGCCGTCCGCGTATAATACACCCCCCGTATACACCCCCCGTATACACC